AACCCACCACCTTAGGTGTACGTGGCTGGCACCTTAGCCAGTTGAGCTATAGGCACCGAGCCCAGGGTCCGGTTTGAACCTGCCACCTCTGAAATATGAGGCCGGTGCTCTACTCCTTTGAGCCACAGGCACCACTCAATATTTCACATTTTTTAAAAATCAAAATTAAAAAAACAGAATAGGCTCTGCACCCGTAGCTCACTGGTTAGGGCGCTGGCCACATGCACTGGGACTGGTGGGTTCAAACCCGGACTGTGCCTGCTATAACAATGACAACAACAACAACAACAAAAATAACTGGGCACTGTGGTTGGTATCTGTAGTCCCAGCTACTTGGGGGGCTGAGGCAAGAGAATCACTTAAGCCCAGGAGTTTGTGGTTGCTGTGAGTTGTGACACAACAGCACTCTACTGAGGGTGATATAGTGAGACTCTGTTTCAGAGAAAACCAAAAGAAGTTTATAAAAAACAGAATGATGTCTTGGCATCTGTAGATCAGCGGCTAGAATGCTGGCCACATACACCGGAGCTGGTGGGTTCAAATTCAGCCCGGGCCTGCCAAACAACGACAACTATAACCAAAAAGTGGTCGGGCGTTGTGGTGGGCACCTGTAGTCCAGCTACTTGGAAGGCTAAGGCAAGAGAATTGCTTAAGCCCCAGAGTTTGAGGTTGCTGTGAGCTGTGATGTCACAGCATTCTACTGAGGGTGACATAGGGAGACTGTCTCAAAAAAACAAAATAGAATAGTATAGAAATATGGTCCCTTTGTCAGTTCCAATGTTAGTAACTTATCCAACAGAAGTTATTAGTGTACAAAAGACATATAAGAATGTACTTTGCAGCAGCTATGTAATAGCAAAAACTGTAAAACAAATGTTGGTGGACAGGTTAAATAAAGTATAGGCACAGGGGTCCTCAAACATTTTAAACAGGGGGCCAGTTCACTGTCCCTCAGACTGTTGGAGGGCTGGACTGTGGGCCCCGGGACGAGTTGGCTGCTAAGCAGGACAGGCAGTGGTGGCAAAAACAACCGGCAGGTGGGACAAATGTCCTAGGCAGGCTGCATGTGGCCTGTGGGCTATAGTTTGAGGACGCCTGTTAGGGCATCCAGGGCAGCGCCTGTGGCTCTGGGAGTAGGGTCCCAGCCCCATACACCAGAGGTGGTGGGTTCAAACCCAGCCCTGGCCAAAAAAAAGAAAAAAAAAAACCTGTCAAGTATAGGACATCCTTATAATGGATTAGCAAAAGTAAAAAGAATGAAGTAGATCTAGATATGCTAACACAGATATCCCTATTTATCTTGTTTTAAAAAATCTGAGAAAAGAACTTGAGAATGGTTGAATTTGTGTATTCACATACATATGTACTTTAAGAATTTAGGTGGATTACTGTTACCACTGACTTTATAAACTGTGCATCCATTATATGTACGTAGGCATACATTGTAATTATAAACAAGAGGCAAGGGTGCCAGCCCCATATGCTGAGGGAGACGGTTGGAACCTGGCCCCAGCCAAACTGAAACAATAAAATAGTTGGGCATTGTGGTGGGCGCCTGTAGTCCCAGCTACTCGGGAGGCTGAGGCAAGAGAATCGCCTAAGCCCAAGAGCTGGAGGTTGCTGTGAGCTGTGACTTCATGACACTCTATTAAAGGTGACAAAGTGAGAGGGTGGCACCTGTGGCTCAGTGAGTAGGGCCCTGGCCCCATATACCGAGGGTGGTAACCTGGCCCTGGCCAAACTGCAACAAAAAAATAGCCAGGCATTGTGGCAGGTGCCTGTAGTCCCAGCTACTCAGGAGGCTGAGGCAAGAGAATCACCTAAGCCCAGGAGTTGAAGATTGCTGTAAGCTATTACGCCAGAGCACTCTACAGAGGGCAATAAAGTGAGACTGTCTCTAAAAATAATAAAAAAATAAATAAATGAGGCAAATATACCATGTATTTCTAGTCTTTTTTCCTGAGAGCATATATGGAAATTTCACTTTTTTCCATCACTGGTTTCATTAATGTCTTTGTATTACTCTGTAACTGCTTTTCAAACTTTCTAGTACCTACACCTATCTGCAATTCCTCTCATTGAACTCGATAGCACTTTAGTTCAAGGAGTCAAGTATTCAATGAATGTTCACTGCTGTTTCATTTTTCAACTCAGGGGTTAAGAATTTTTGAGGCAGGGACCTCTCCCTGTTGCCCAAGATGTTCTCAAACCCCTATGCTCAAATCCTCTTCCTTCAGCCTCCCAAATGACTGGAATTGTTAACATGGTTAATCAATGGTTAACATGCCACCATACCTAGCCACACTTTAATAAATAGATTAATGCTCCCTCGCCACCAAGATCCTTTTGGCTGTGTGTAATGCACCCAGCGTCTGTATTTGTCTTAAAGCGCACTGAGCTGTTAACACTGAGATGACCCAGCTCTCAGCAACAGCACTATTAGCCAGACTTTTATTTGCTTTCTGGAAGTAACTTTGAAGCCTTTTTCAAAAAGCACTCAACACTGAGTCAGAAACCTCACCGTGACTGTCCCATGACACTATTCAAGTTTTTTCTCCCTAAACCAAGGCCACTCCAGTTTCACTGATACACAAAAACTAGCATACTAACAAGAAATTACCAGCCTGGTAGGTAGGTAGTTGGGTTTCTTGGGGTATGTAATGTTCTTGACATCACGTGCTCAGTTACATGGGCAAGTCATAAACTCATTTTATCATAATTAGCAGCATTTCATTAACAAGTAAAAACTCAAATGGATTTGTAAATTCCCCCAATTTATAGATCCCTTAAGGACAGGATGGGTTTGAACTTTTCGCTCTTATCTGCTTTACACCACAGAATTATTCTAGAGCAGAGGTTATTCATAGACCTCCTGAACCTGAAGGAATGCAGAAAGGACTGTTGCTCTTTGGAAAAAGGAATCCCCCCTCCCCTCCTTTTTTCTGAGTCTTACTCTTAAATCACCCTGGGTAGCATCATCCTAGCTCACAGCAACCTCAAAACTCTTGGGTTCAAGAGATCCTGTTGCCTCACCCTCCTAAGTAGCAGGGACTACAGGCACCTGCCACAAACAATCCCAGGAGTTTTTTCTCTTTTTTTTTTTTTTAAGACAGAGCCTCAAGCTATCCCCCTGGGCAGAGTGCCGTAGCATCACATCTCAGAGCAACCTCCAACTCCTGGGCTCAAGCGAGTCTCCTGCCTCAGCCTCCCAAGTAGCTGGGACCACAGGCCCCCACCCGTGTCTGCCTATTTTTTGGTTGCAGCCGTCAATTGTTATTTGGCAGGCCCCGGCTGGATTCAAACCTGCCACCTTAGGTGTTATGTGGCTGGCGTCTCAGCCACTTGAGCCACAGGCGCCGAGCTGAGTTTTCTATTTTTAATGGAGATGGGGTCTCCATTTTCTTCAGGCTGGTCTTGAATTCCTGAGCTCAAGCTATTTACCACCTGGGCCTCAGCCTCAGCTTCGCAGAACATTAAGATTACAAGTATGGGCTGGGCATCTACAGCTCAACCAGCTAAGGCGCCAGCCATGTACACCTGAGGTGGCAGGTTCGAATCCCCAGCCCGGACCCGCCAAACGACGACGGCTGCAACTAAAAAATAGCCGGGCGTTGT